ATTTTTTTATTAAAAAAAAAACACCCCCAAGATATTAGACAAACCTTCTCGACTTTATTTCGTGAGAAGAAACTGGATTTAACAATTGTACAGAAATTGGATTATGGTATATTGGCTCCTATACCATAATGGCTGAGCCAATAAAAAGTCTTGAATTGCATTATCCAATGATCCAGTTGTTAATAATGTTCTTTATTCTCATTACCTGTCTACCTCATATTGTAATGAGATGTTTTGTCTTGGTCGCTCAAAGAAGTTAAAGCCTTAACAAGCCATACCATCAAGAATTTTGGAAGTTGCTCACAAACCCAAAAGAACAATCAAGCAAACCCAGAAATAAGCTGCTTTATTACACGACTCGGGCAGTCAGAGGGCCAATAACTAAAATCAACCAATCAAAATGCTCTATTGCCGGTCAATATTCTCGCAGTATTGGACGGGGCACTGTCCCGAATGGTCCCGAATGGTCCAGAATGATACCACACTTGTGTCCCTTTGAACTTCAGTCGTATAATAAATCTCTTTATTAACCAAGCTTGCGCGAGGCCATACAGGAAGAATATCAGCCCTTGGTCTTTTTTGTTCGGACTGAGTGCAGCGAGGTCCGTACTGTCAAGACCTCGGGCCAATATTCTCTCAGTATGGCACTTGCGCTTGGTTAATAAGATATATTTATGACACACTCTTGCAAAAAATGCTTACCGGTCAAACCAGGAAGTACTAAGACAGTAGGTCTGGATGCTGCATCCTTATAAATAGTACTATCATCATTATCAAACCAATCCAGGCAAACAATTCCACCATCTGGGGTCACTAGAGTCTCCCTGAAAGAAAAAGTATTTTAATCAATTGACAAACTCTGAGAGAATATTTCCAGATATGAATAGAAAATGGCACAGGTCATCAGAAATATTTAGCTAAAGAATTCCCTTGCTATAAGGAGCAGCAAGGCAACCATCAACTGATTATTTTTACAAATGCGCACTGCAAATAGAGAGTCAAGAGTGTAGCCTATCATATTGTAGAATTTGAGATAGAACTTGTCGATTTTTACAGATAAGGATATTCCTACTTGATTTTGACTTTACCTCAACTAAAAAAAAGTCAGCTTGAACTGTGACACACCTAAATATTTTCATTGATAATAAAACTTCCCACCAGGAAAATTTGCGAAATGAGTTCGATGGAAGAAATTAAATTATCTGCTGTACATTAAAGTGATGAAAAAAAAAAAAAAAAGACAACAAAAACAACAAGACCATAAAATACAGCTATCTCCTTCCAAATCATGATAAAATAGCAAAGATTTTAAGGTATTACATTACATGTAAATCTATTTTGGGCATTAAAAACAGTGAATGAAAATGCCGCGGGATCCAGTTTCACCGAGACTATAGTGAAGGACTGACTTCTTTATCAATAATTCCAAAAATTCACTCCAAATTTTCATTTTTAGCACACAAAATTGCTTCATTATTGTCAGATTTCGTTTCTTCTGTCGCCTCATACATTTGAGTTACCAAATTAAAATGAATTTTTGGCAATAATTAAAACCTGGTTATCATTCGATTGCGTGCAGGTGCAAATAAACACATTATGTAAACCATGCTAATGCTCTTCTCCCTGGTTTTATTTCTCATCAAACTGGGATACCCCTTAAATTTCCCATCGCCAAAAAGTGGTATGAGACGGCCGTCTTTTCTTTCACAACTAACTTTAAGTTTTTTTTTTTTTTTTTTTTAATCTTGCCTATGAATGACTGTCAACAAAAGCCGGTAAGTATGTATTGAAGCCAGCGCTCGATTGGTATTTAACGTAATGTAAAACTTCGAAATTTTCAAAATTTTCGGAACAGATCGCTCCAAATGCGTTTAAAGACATGTAACTTACCTTCGAAAAGGGACTGATGGCCTAGATCGGATCAAGGCCCTTATTACTGTTTGAGCTCTTGCACCGAAGCACCAAAAGGTTGGCCAATATTGTTCGCTCACAATCGGACAACTTTGCAGAATGAACTGCTGCAAACGACCTTTCTTGCCAATCAAACGCGGTTTCTGAACGACGTGAAACAAGTAGTATGTGGAGTAGATTATAAATAGAACTGTCAAAAGGGGTAACCATTGCCATTGGTAAAGAAGATGGAGAAACTGTAGCAGGGAAGCCATGCCTGTCGATGCTTGTCAACAAAATTCCCTTTCGCCGCAAACTGCCAAACAAGGACAATGACCCTCTAGTGTCCAGTGCAACGCATTTAAAATAACCGAGTAGTGAGAGACTGGAGCACGTCATTGATACAATGGTTGATGTTGAAGTTGCTTCCTCGCTTTCATTTGAATATCGACAGAATAATTTACTGTGATCTACACCAATAAAAGAAGATTTAGAGTAACAGGATATTTTTCATCATCATGACGGACTTGTTCAATCATTATGAGCAACAGTTCGGGAACGTCAGCGCCGAAATAACAGCGCGTATTTGCAAGATTCCCAATCTACATGGAAGTAAGTTTCTATCGTGTTCAGATTTGATCAAATTTGCATTGTGATTGATTTGAAAGCCGGCTGATGGTAAAGTTCACCTTAGTTTATTTTTACGAAATCCATTTGTATGTTGACTCTTTTTAGCCGCTAAAAAGGGTGCTGTAACGGACGTGGAAAGATGTTTTGACGAAGCTCGAGAATTGGTAAGTAATTTTTTTGAAAAAAATTGTCAAACTCATGGCAACTTAATTAATTATCACACTTTGAATCGGTGAAGTGGGTTATTTTCTCTTGTCTATACGAAAGTGCTTTAGATTGTAGTTGTCCAATTAAAAAAAGTGAATTTTCACTTCGCTTTTTTTTATCATGCGTGAAACAAATGTTGCCGATGGGAAATACTTGTACATGTCCCATAGTATGTCTTATGAGTAATAGCTGTGTTCTCCTTATCTGAGAATTTAATATTTCTTACGAACACTGAAAGTTGAATTTTAAGACTTTGTTCGTTAGCAAACAAGGTGAAAGGGGGCAAAAACGAATTCGTGAAAAAATAAGGTCATGTTTTTAATCCATGACCAAAGTTTCAACCGACATGTGCTTTTGATTTCTTCAACTTCTTAGTAGTAGTCTACCAACATTTTAATGCCACTAAAACTTGGGACAGTATCAAATGTTATAAAGTAACTGAGAAAAGACAAGCACCCTGATTGGTCAAAAACCTATTGTTTATTGCTTGGGTAAACCCATAGAAAATTGAAACATTTAAGTTTATTTTATAAAAGCAACAGACCTGAGGTTCTATTGGTTTACTGCTGCAATAACCCTCTTGGGTTCATGGGAGAAAAGTTTGAAAACACTCTCATCCATTATATGAGTATCATATATGTATACTGCAGTTTGACGAAATGTATGAAAGCGATCCTTGCAGTAATGAATCCTGCTTATATGGTAGTAGAAATAAGAACTGAAAAAAATTCAGGCCCATATGGGATTTGAACCCATGACCTTTGCGATACCGGTGCAGTGCTCTACCAAATGAGCTAACATTAGCCAACTGGGAGCTGGTATAGGAGAGGTCATGGGTTCAAATCCCGTACTGAGAAGATTAGAATATCTATCTATTTCTTGATGTTATAGAAAGGTAGCAAATTCTTCTCAATTATTTTAAGACCCTGAGTGTTGGTCAAGCCGGGGCTTGAACCCTCGACCTCCCGCACAACAGTCCAGCGCACCATCCATTGGGCTAGCTGATTTTCACTACTACATTTTAAGTAGGGCTCATTACTAGGAAGATCACCCTCATCAAGCTTGCGATGTACAAAGTTTCCTTGTTTTCTCCCATTATCACATGTGGGCTATACTATTATGCCAGTAAGAGGATAGAACAAAGCATTTTATTGCTTGACCCCTAACCCTAACCCTTAAGAGTGACTGGCATCTAATTTCTCATTACACCATCACTGCTGCATCAAACAGTAAGGTCAGGAGAAGAAAGGAAACGATCACTAACTCAAGGAGCATATGATTGGTGAATAAATTCTCCTTGTCAATGCAACAGGAAATGTATAGAGAACAGTTTGGAGAATGTGGGGTCAAGGGTTAAATAATTGTAATACAATGATTAATCATGAAAAAGTAAATCGTAATTTTTGGAGTGTTCTCTCTCTTTATAGATTGAACAAATGGAATTGGAAGTTAGAGAAGTAACAGGAGAAGAAAAACCCAAATTGACAAATAGACTCAAAGCTTACAAGAATGAAATGAAAAGATTTGATCAAGATTTGGTGAGAATAGAATGGTTTCATTGAGTTATTTCGCTGCAATTTATAACTTATTTCGTAATATTTTGAGAACGTTACACAATTTTGATATCCAATTTTGAAGTTTATCCCTAGATTTTATTACACATTTCATGGTTATTCAAGCAAAAGCTTACTCTTTCCTTGTGTCAACACTGTCTTAAAAAATGAAAAAAATGATATTAAATCTTTTTCCAAAACTGTTCTTTTTTTTGGATGTCAAAACAGTGGATGTCTGTAACTCATGAGCACATAAGTGGAGCACTGCATCTTACTTTTACTGCTGCCAAATGTAATGCCACAATTCTGGTGAACACAGCAAAAAAAAAAAAAAACATCTGCATTTGCTTGTTGTACTGTGCTACAAGTGGTAATAGAATTGACAGATCACAGATCACATGCCTAAACTGCACCTGTAAGATTTGCACATACCCAAGTACCCTTTCCTCTTAAAATTATAGACAGGCAAAATGTTCCCTTACCCTCCCCTGCAATGCCCTGTGAACTTGCCATGTTGGGTCGTTTTTGCACGGCCATAGTTATCAAAAGCTTCTTATTACAAGAGAAAAGTGCACTACATGTACAATGTAACCTAAGGTGGCTGAACACAGTTTTCGCGTGCGCTTTTGCTGATGCAATTCAGCGCACGCACAAGGATTGCAAAAAACAAACATGCCATCAATAGACCCATCATTTTATTTACTCAACACGTACCCGTACTATCTGTGTTATTTTTCTCTATAGTTGGCGCAGTGTATTGAGGGCTTTAATCTTTCATAACAAAGATATGTTAGAAAAGGTAACGGTGCAAAGAACCCAGCAATTCTCAGCTTTTTCGTCGTCACGGAAAGAAACCAGTTAAATGCAGCCCATGGGTAGTATTAGTAAAAAAATTGCGATTGAATTGAAAATTGCTTTCTCGGAAATATGCGTATTTCTTGAGAACCACTCATTAGATTTTCACAAAATTTGGCAGAAAAATACTTTAGGAAATAAGTAACTGGAGTATTAAAAAAATTGATTTTGAACAAAGGAAATTCTAGAAAATCAAGTGAACCTTCAACAAGGGATAATCAAAGACCTCTCTGTTAAATTGTCAGTAAAATGGTGTTAACTTGTGAGTATCATTACAAGCTCCTTGCATGCAAATTATAAAGAAAATCTAATGACTAGATTTTCTACAAAGAAACAAAACCAATTTTAATTGCCTATTTATATCTATTCATTTCACCATGGCAATGGCACATACGTCAGCTCAACTATCGAAAAAACAAAGTTCATGTTGTTAACTTGCTTGCTGCCAGTTTTGGCGACCGAGAGATCAAGGGTGTTAGAGAAAATGGTGAAAGAAACAAAGGTATCAAAACTGTGTTCAGCCACCTTAAAGTTATTTATTTGAACTTCATAATGGGGCTTGCTCACCACAGAGTCTCTGTGGCTCTGTGGTAGACCATTGGAGCATGGAATCCAAAGGTCTGAAGTTTGATTCCTCATGGGGACTTAGAAATTTTTCTTTGTCCAATGCCCCTGACAAAACAAAAACATCTTTCTTTTTCTTTACTGAGCTCAAAACTTACCATCTTTCTTACTCTTGACTATTAATTTTAGTAATTGTTGTTGACACTTTTTTCTGATTTCTCAGAAAAAAGCAAAAGTAGCATTCTCTGATCAAGAGGGTAGACATGAACTCCTCAGTGGCGAGGATTCGCATAACTCTGAGGATCAGGTGTGTTTTACAGTTATTTATTAGGGGTTTATCCAAGTGAGTAAAGCATGTACTTAATAAATAAGGCTGCATTGTTCAAAGTATGATTATGTAGCTGAGGGTTAGTCAGCAATTTTTATATTTAGTTAAAATTTGTAACTTCACAGGAGGTTTTATTGTTTACCTTCAATTTTGTTGTAAGCCAAGGTATGATACCTTAAAATGTAAACCCTTATATCTGCTATTTCAAGAGAAATTATGTACAAGTCAGAAAACTTTTAATCTTGAACTATCACTAGTTCCTATTCAAACTGCTGAGCCCAGAGTGCCAGAGCAAGGGACACTCTTGGAATTTTTGAAAACACTGACTGTACTTTTCTTATCATTGTTGCTATTTAGAGAGCCAGATTGTTGGACAACACTGAAAGAGTGGAACGATCTGGGAGACAACTTGAGGAAGGTTACAGAATGTGTGTAGAGACAGGTGAGAGTAGAACTGCACTGTGATGTTGTTATAGACCAGAACTTGTCAAAAAGCTGTCTGTCATGAAGCTCTCCTTGCGTTTACCACGGGGTGTAGCATTCTTTCCAGCTGTTTTTAGCTTAAAGTTTGCATTTTACTCTACACATTTCACATTTCACATTTCACATTTCACACCCCCTTCTCACATACCACATATCACATTTCACATCGCATGTTTTACATTTTGCATTTCACATTTTGCATTTCACATTTGGCATTTCACATCTTGTGTTTCACATTTTGCGTTTCACATTTTGCATTTTGCATTTCACATTTTGCATTTCACATTTTGCATTACACAGTTCACCTAACACTTTTTCACTCCTCTTACTGCAATGAATGACATAATGCAATGATCCAAGCTGACTTCAAATTTAACCTCCTACAACTGAGTTCACCATGCTTGTACTTGGCCATGCAGTGCCATAAATTTCCACGTTTTGCTTTACACTACCAAAATCTGCATTTTTTCTCTTTTATGTTGAGAGCACAGGGCTTGACACTAACTTTTCAATTTACTAGCTAAGTGGCTAGTAAGTTGAAATGTTTCAACAATTTCAGCTTGTTTACTAGCCAAACTGTTTAATGGAAATCGAAAACCACTAGCCAAAACTGAATTTCTACTAGTCTGTGGCTAATGGGTTGGCTACCATTAGTGTCGAGCCCTGTTATCGCCAAGAAATGAAAGGGTATGGTAATGAATTTTCAGTCAAAATTTCTTTATATCCAGTTTTTTTTTGTTGTTGTTGTTTGTTTGTTTTTTTTTTGTTTGTTTGTTTTTTTTTGTTTGACTTTGTAGGAGTAATGTTAATGGAACATTAGCTCTGTGAGATCTCTCCTGCCAAATTTTGGCAAAGCTTATAAGTAAATAAATAAATTAATTAAACTTTCATTTTGTTGACTATAATTTGTGATTTGGTCTTTCAGAACAAATAGGAGTTGATATTATGAATAATTTACATAGAGACAGAGAAGTCATAGAGAGAGCAAGGGACAGGGTAAGTGTTGACCAACATCTAATTTCTCCTTACAATATCACCCCTGAGTCAAACATTAAGGTCATGAGAATATAGGAAATGATCAACACCTACAGAAGCTCTTGATTGTTAAACAAACTCTCCTTGTCAGCACCAAAGGAAATGTATAGAGAACAGTATGGAGAATATGCATACTGATGATTTGGGTATAAAGGGTTAAAAGAAGAGGGGTAAATGTTAAATACTTTAGGTGACTCAAAAGTTTTGGCCTCGCACTGTGAACATTTTCTAATCAATGAGAACTGGTAGTGTCCAAAATATATAATTATAGCTAAGCTAAGCTAAGTACATTGGTTTCTCCCCGCAAATAACTTAAGATCTAATCGAGGCGGGAAGATCTAAGGACAGTTTACAAGTGCAGGATTTATCTATAGATCGACTAACAATGAAAACACTACTATGCAGTGAATAGAATAAGCATAAAATAGAGCAAGTATTTTAAGATTACGAAACGAGGCTAACCTAAAGTATTAAATAACTTAATAAGAGGGGAGACTTACACATAATCATCTTCTGACGGTAAAAAAATTGGTAGTAACTCCATTGTCTTTTTACGAAAAGATGAACGTTACAGTTGTTTAATTGAATAGAGGATAGGGTTCAAAATTTGAGCACCAATTCTCGAGAAAGAAGTATACATTTTATCTTTTCTAGAGAATTCGACAAAATACGAGTCACTAGAGACTGATCATTGTTCTATAGTTATGAATCTGACTTGTTTTAACAAACTGATTGAGTATACTAACTGGTGCTGTCTGTCTGTTCATATCATAAAATAAATAGTTACTATCTCTGAAAAATAGGCTAGGCTGGGCAAGACAATTTGATTTGAGAAAGAAGGGTACGGTGTGCTCCTTAGACTTACTGAAATAAATAAGACGTAAGGCCTGTTTTTGTAGAATTATGATCTTTTTTTGAAATGTCACAACACAATTTCCCCAAGCACAAATACCATAAGTTAAGTATTGGACAATTAGTGAATTGTAAACTGAAAGTAAGACACGATGCAGGACATAATGTCGAATCTTGGCAATAATTCCTATTGACTTGCTAATTTTGTGGCAGATAGATTCTATATGGTATTTCCATGAAAGATTTGAATTAATCATTAAGCCCAGATAATTACATAGTCTTTCATTTCAAGGTTTGCATACTTAGGTATTAGTCACAGAGTCAAAAATTCTAATCCTAGGTATATAAGGCATATTTTTTTGTCAGGGACAAAAACTTACAAAGTTTGATTTTTTTATGTTCAGAGATAGTTTAGTGGCCTTAAGCGAATCATTGACATTGCCAATTTTGCGATTAATTATATTAATTATATCTTGTTAGATGTTTTGTTGTGTAGTATTGCTAAGTATTTTACAAGTTGTGCTGTATTTTGATGAGCCCATAGGGCAAGTCAAAATACAAATAACAAATAAAAATACTCAGCGGTACTACACAACAAAACATCTATAAGTTATTTATTATCCAACACACCAAATTGTTATTTCAGTGCTGGTGAATTTTGGGAATATCTATTTACAGGGAGTGTGTGACAGAACCATGCAAAGTGGAATGGAATTGGCGCGTTGTTGCATTGCTGTTTCTATTTTCTTCAATAAATGATGTAATTTCAATGTCGTCTAGCTGCTTTACTTCGTTCAATATATCTAATAAACCTGGATCAATATTTGCCAGCCATTCTGACTCTTCATTGTCAGAAAAATGATTTAAATTGTCCACCATTTTTTTTTTGTAACTTCAATCCAATTCATCGCTTACATGATGCAAGTAAACCTGTCTAACCGGGTCTCTGGAGTACAAATACCTTGTGACGTTTGTTCTCATCTTGGGCGTTATTTGTACTCTACGGAGTGTAGTTGGATAATATACACAATTGTCCTCTCTCTTTTTCTTTGTAGACTCGAGCAACAGATAAGAATCTATCAAAAAGCTCAAGAATTTTAACAGGAATGATGAGAAGGTATTATAATAATTAATTATTATTGATAATTAAAATTATTATTAATTAATAATATAAAATAATTTATAATTTTATGACTGTAAGATGTGCTGTTGGAGAAAATGGGAATATCAAAACTCATTACCTATTTTCTCGGTTTTTGATAAAGAATCTGGGACGGGCTTTTCAAAGCTGGATTAAGATACCTCAGGTTTACTGTTAATTCTGATTTCAGATCTGAAAGCTTTAAAAGAAAGGTGTAATTCTTTTTTCTTTTGGATGCTCTAGAGAAGACTATCCCAGAAGAGGCTCATGAACAAAAGAATAAAGAAACCAGGATTAAAATTTAACCCTGGGTTGGTGCTAATTTACCTTTGAGCCAGAATGTAACTCATCAATCTTTCTTTCTCTTTTATTTTACATTTGCAGGATAATACAGAACAGAATAATAATGGCTGTTATCTGCCTGGCAATACTGGGTGTCATTGGACTGATCATATATTATGCTACCAAATAATATCACTTGGCTTTAGGTACCTCCATTCTGGATTTCACAAATTTTAAGTATAGAATTTAATCTGAATTTGTTGAGAAAAGACAAGTTTAATTTGGGAAAGAATGTAAATACATAAGTCAGAGTTACGAAACAATTTATGGCTGTCTGATATAAAAATTCACTTTTTGAAGTATTTTTTGTTTTTTCATGTTAATTAAATTGACCACTTAGGAAACAGCCATTAGGTTCATATTTAATCTAAATAATCTCTCTACAAGTGGAAATTCTTGGTTGTAAACAATTACACTTGTATTTTTAATGCAAAAACTCTGCATAAAGTGGATGCTGGATCAAGATCCAAATTTCCTCGCAAATTGATTCACTTTAGAAGCACATAATTGAATAAAATCTTGCATTCTGATTGGTTAACAAAGTGATGTATGTAGCATGGAATTGCGAGTTGAAAATGAGGCGAAGTGATATTGTTTCACATCTCTTGTTTCATGCTCAGGATAAAAACAAACAGTATTATTGCTGTTTTCTTTTTTTTCTTATTTTTATTCAATTTTGCCATTCAAGGAAAATCAATTACCAAACTTGTGAATTCCACTTTAAATTTCACTTGAAAACCAACATCACACAAATCACAAGGTGATCTGGCATGAATCGCAAAGCGACGAGTGCTGCATTGGTTTTTCCTCATCAAGTAATGAATTCCCTCTGGAATGAGCCTGTATTCCACTAATACTGCTATTAGACCTTTTTAACTCCCATGTGATAAACATACAACTTCTCCCAACAATATCCATACATTCTACAGCAAACAGGTAATGAGAATACTCAAACTTATCAGGTAGAATTTGTTACCTTGATTGAACACCAAATTCTCGTAACCAATTTACTAGGAAATGTGTAGCAGCTAGAGGGGAAAATTAACCATCAGATCTTGGGAGTTAAAAAGGGTTAAGAGGACACTCAGCAATAGTTTTGTAGATGTCTGCTAATACTACACAACAGGTTTCAGTGCATCTTCAATTATCAAATATCACTCAATGCATAATTAAAGCAATGTTATTTTAACTTGTGATATTGTTTTTCATAATTAGGTCATGATTAACGCGAGACAAAAGTTGTAAGTTTTAAATGAAAACTTAATGGAAGAACTTAAA